GTCAGACTTCTCCTTTTTATCTCATATGATACTCTCCTCACCTTGCTTGGGCACAGATGCCACATACTGAGCCACCCCTGCATGCACTGATATCCCTCCATCTTGCCCTGGCTCTGATATCCCAAGCCAGACCTCATACAATGATACTTCATTCTGTGTGGGCTCTGACTTCCCATACTAGGCCATTCCTCTACATGGACAGCATCCTCACCGTGCTTAGGTTGTCTCTCTATGCCCACTGTACCTGGTGTTGATCCTTTGTCATCTTGTTTAAGCTCTAACATATCACATGTGTCTCATTTGGCTGCTCTTCTGTGTAGATGCCTAGCTCCCACTGACCTACCCAATGACTTGAGGATTGAACTTTTAAAGAAGAGAGAAAGAAGTAGAAGAGGAAGAGCAAAACTGTGCATCTTGACTCAAGTGAAGCAAGAGCAGAAACGTTAGAATGGATAACCCCAGCAGTGGTGTTACAAGTGTTACAGTGGAACTGTCAATTGGCTTTTAAAAAAATTTTTAAGCACAAAAGCATACTGTTTACTTACTGACTAAATGTGTCCCCTACCACATTCCTCTAAGCACTGTATATTTCAGGCATAGTCATACTTTTGGAGTATAGTCTCATATTTGGAAAAACTAAAACAAAAATTTAATCAAACATATTTTCTACTTTTTTCCTAAATATTTGGAGATGTTAGTTTTTTTTTTGGGAAAAACAACAGAAAAGGGAAAAACTGCTACTTTTTTTCTTTATAAGTATTTCAGAATATCTTGTCCTTTAAGTAGTTGTCAAACAGGCTGCTATTCAGGAATTAACTGTGAAACTTTTTCAGGGTAAAACTTATTTCTACTTCCTTCTTTCTGACACTCTGGTATGTCCTCAGGGGAAGGAATGGAGTAAGGGAGAACAGAAAAGGCTCTGCAGTTAAGAAAAATCTAAAGATGATACTGTATCACTGCTCTTTTGATAATATAACATTCTGATCAAAGGAACAAGGCAATAACAAACTAGTGTTCAATCAACTCATTCTTGGGACATTCATTATATCCCAATGTATTATCCATTTTTTCATGTTTAAGGTTTTAAAAAAAAATCTTACTGCATAGAAAATCTGTACATTTGTCACGTCTGCCACATCGAGTACAAAATATTCCTTGTTGATAAGGTCTTCTTGTCAGAGTTCCTCTACAAACAAAAATGCAGAAAACATTGTTAGAAGAGGTTTCAATTTTTACATGTTGTTATAATAACATGGTTACTAATTTGTATTTAGTTTATGAAGGTGAGTTAATTAAGAAAATATTCTTAAGGAAATACTTTAATTAGAGATGCAATCTTTCCCCTTTGTTCCTCCCCTGAAAACAGTCTCTTCTGAAATTATTTCCCATGTTCTTGAAACAAAATATTGTAATTTGAATAAAAGAATGAGTTTTAAATCCTCTTTCATTTTAGTTTCTTTCATTTTTAAAAATGGGGCTATAGAA